GTGATTTTCAACAATGATTTGATAATAATAACTAAAATTCTGTTTACATAAACCAAACTCTTGGTTGGCGATTTTTCGTTTGAATAAGTTTATATTCTGTACTTCACAGATGCTTTTTCATAATTCGGAGATACAAAACAAAAATTTGTATTATCATTTTAACATCTTGCCTCTGACGGCATTAGTAAATAACAGCAAGCATCTCTACACACTCAGCTACAGCCGCTTTATAAATGTGTGTTCAAATGGTCAACTTGAATCAATTTGCTTCGTCGTTTGATTTGGTTCTACACCAGCGATGGGCAGAGAAACCTTTTACTCTGCACGCGCTTACACAAAATGTTAAGAAAGCTTAAAAGAGCTTTGCCCGCGCGCAAGGCAGTGCCCATAACCGTTGTACACTTCTCAGAGGCTTTTTCGTAATTAAGAAAAACCAAAAACAATAAAAATTATCTGTCGCGCTGACGGCATTCGTGCTGCTAGCCCCATGAGCTGACATTCGTATTCACCACGAGAAATGTCAAATTTTTACTTTGATCCGTCAAAAGTTCCTCTTCTATCAATTGGCACAGGCCCAATGTATTGAAAGATTTGACAATCGCAAAGATTGTTGACGTGTGTCATTTTTCGTTGAAATTGAATAATTTCAATCAATGATGGCAGATGTTTTCTTAAAGTATTACTTTCGATTCTCGATCATTAAATGCTATTCCATCAACATCTAGCAAGTAATTATTTTATAGATTATTGTGAGTTTAAGACAACGATATACTTTATCACAAGATGATTGTTTTGAGAGAAAATACCCAACTTTACAGCCACAAAACTTTGTGAAAAAAGTTTTCACGGTGAAAATTTTTTCACAAAATAATTAACTTACTTTTGAAAACAGAATCGTAATTTTATGTGAAGTGATGAAAAATGTTTTCACTTTACGTTTTCACAGAACAGGAATTGGCCCCCAGATCAGCAAAAAAATTTAGTAGTCAATTTGAAGTTTTTGCTAAGCCGTTAAATTTTATTCTTATCCTGAAGATTTACAAAAAAATTAAATAAAATTAGGGACGGTAAGATCATAGCCATTTAAAAGCTGAGATTTACATTACGGAACCAACAGCTATATAATTTAGTATACGGAATTTTTATATAAAACTTGGTGGGGATGTTAATGGAGGTCTTATTTAACTGCATTAATCACTTTCACAATGTTGCTGCTAGTATTTAAGTAATTTGTTGTTAAAGTATCCCGACTAATATCACCAAATTTTAATTTAAAACGCCACTTTTCACTTATACTTATATAATATGCTATCCTTAAAATGTTCGCATGCGTTTGTAATACTTAAGTAAAACGCGTTTATAAATGCGTTTTCAAATTTTTTCACAATTCACAAATAAAAAGAAATAACAATGGTCAGGGACAGAAAGAACAAATATATGCTACCATACGTTTTAAAAGAAAATACACCACAAATAAGGGCACATAATCACGGTCTATACGTTTACTACTTGTATGTATGTTGAATGCATATAATAAAACTCGTCTATTTTCAAAGTGCTTTTTTTATAAAAATCGATGCTTCCATAAATAATGAAAATTTTTAATAACAAATCGCGCGATATTTTATTACAAATTTTCGGCTGCGGCGCTTTTTTTATAAAAATCGATAGTTGGACAAATAAAGAAAATCACTCGATTTTTTATTACAAATTTTCGCATGCGGCGCTTTTTTTCATAAAAATCGGAATTTGATAACGAAAATTTTTAACAAAAAATCACGGATATTTTATTTCAAATTTTCGCCTGCGTCGCTTTTTCATAAAAATCTATACTTCGATAAATCATTAAAACTTTTAATAAATAATTGCGCGATCTTAGACTGCGGCGTTTATTTTTAATCAATACATCGATATGTAATGGAAAAACCGTATTATGTGCGGTTTTGTTGTTTCCCGTGAATTTTTTGATGTGTGGCAGCACCGACATTTCAGTTCAATTGGTCTACAAAGCAAAAAGTGAGGCTGAATTTGACATTTTTTGCAACTATAAATGCAAATTACTTAAAAACCATAAGCCTCCGGAGGGGGCCACGCGTGTTTTCGGATTTATAATCAGGGGGACCCGTTCTACACCCCTCCTTTTTATTTTTTTCGAAAGCTTGGTTCCGTATTGGAAAATTTTTCCCATTTAAAAATTAAAAAAAAACTGTAATGTGGTAGATTTTATGTTTACGGTCGTATAGTCCTCACACTGGTCTTGACCCTGCAACCCTGCTACCAAGGCGAAAACATAAGAATTCGCATTTGGTGACCCCCAATTTAGATGATTCAAGTACTTGAAAGCAATTCTTGCTCATTCTCTTTTGTGTTTTCTATTTGCATTTACACGGTCCAATTCTGTTGAATTGAAGTTTTTGGTTCTTTAAGTCTAGGTTCAGACAGAGAAACTTTTGTCGCGAAAACTCGTTACTTGCGGGAGAGGGAGTGACGAAGAAGGGGGAAGGCCACCGAGTTGCTCGTGCTCGGGCAACACGCTTTGTGCTTTCGTTCCACGGTGCAGCGAACAAAGGTGGCGCCGTCAGTGGTACCGCTACTTTGGTTTTTCCGATTTTGACAGTTGTGGTAACTTGTAAATAAACCTTTGTTTACAAATCAACGAAAGAGAAATTTGAATTATAAGTGAAAAATCAGTTTAAATCGTATTAATTTGCAATTTATGAGTGATTTTTAAGTTGAAGACTGCGTAAAAACTAATACAATGAAGTGCTGTGTGTTAAATTGCGACAACCGTAAAGATGCAAGAAGCGTAGATGCAAGTGTAGCGCTGGGACGAATCGCTGCATTTTGTGTACATAAGGCAAGGCAAAGCCGTTCCCGAAATGTTTCTCTATTATTATATTAACAGCATTTCCTCACAATGATTTTGTTTCTGCTCCACGCAGCCTCCATTAGCAAGTTAACTAATCAGTCCCGCAGAGATGCTGCTGCAGTTTTCTGCAGCTGCCTTAATTGCAAAGCAATGGAGTGCACTAAAACGTTTGCTGAAGCAGCCTCAATTGCAAAGCAATGGAGTGCACTACAATGTTCACTGTTCTCTAATAAATTAGGTGTAAAATGCAATATTTTCGCATTTAGCAAAATTAAAACACGTTTTTCGCAGTAAAGTGAACTGCTTTGGCTGTTTCTACTCGTTCTTCTTTTCGCTCTATTCTTTGTTTACTTGTGGTACACAAATGTCAACCCCAGGACGGCGCAATCTTGTATTCTATCATTCTTGCTTTCGTTCGTCTGAGTAATTCTAGTTGGCCGTTCACAGCTGACAACAGCAATTGTGTACAAAAGAATTGCTCTGTGTGAACGCCAAGGGCAACACCAAAATACCATGTTCTCACCCACGATGTAGAGAAGAAAGGTGGCGCCCATCTCGGTACCGCTATTCCGCTCTCAGGAAATTTGACAGAATCGCTGTTTGTATGATGTCACACTTGTGCAACTTGTCTACGTTTCTCTTACAAAATTTCTCCTTCTTCCACTCTTGCTCACACTTTGAAAACGAGTTTTGGGATTGTGGGCTGTTCACACCGGTTGTTATGGTTTTCGTTGACATGTCTTACATCTTTTGATTACAGTTTTGTACACAAAAACAAAACCAAAATACTTTTCCTTCATTTTCTTTTCATTTACAACCTTTAATTTTCATTCTTAATTTGCTTTGGCCAGGCAATTAACAATAAATCCGAAATGGCGTATTAAAGATGATAAAATATAACTTCTACTTCGATAAATAATCGGAAAAAAACTAGTGACTAATGTGAGTTTTCAAGTAGTTTTCAGCGAAAACTGGGTTTCGTTTGATAGACTTTACATGGATGAAAACACAAGTTTTAGGTCGAAAACCAGTTTTAGCAACAAAAACATGTTTTCTATGTCCGTCAGAACAAGGTAAAAGAGAAGTTGCCGAAAATAAGCCACAAAAGTTTCTCTGTGTGAACCCAGTCTAAATGGTAAACAACAAAAATGTCAAAAATAAAGTAAGAAAGTTGAAACGACTTGACGGTACAGACGCATGTGTACTCGTCCCTTTTCTTCTCACTCGTTCTCTTCCATATGGGATTAGAATTGAATTCAAGACTTGCGCACTTTCGCTACAATTATAACGAGTTGTCCCTTCTTGTTATCTAGGTTTTTTGGTATTATGAGCAGCGTTGCAAATGGTTTCATCAATTGCATGTATTGCCACTGGATTTAAATTTTTTTTCTTTTATAAAGAGAACAAAACACTATAGATTTATTTTCCTTGTTTTCGGAAAATTATTTTAAACTGAGCAAGTTTACAATTTTTTGTAGTAGAAAATGCGCTTAAGTACAGACCTAAATTTTCAATGTATGTAAGAATTACCGATCCCCATCGATTTATTTATTCAGTCCTATCACCAATTCCATTTGAATAAATTGTTCACAAAAGCGGATTGGGGAAAATTGTTTTTGTTGTTTTACTTTATAATTTTTGGGAAAATTTGTTCACTTGGATACAATTTACTAGTTGATCTTACATTGCAGCCGATAGTATCGATAGTTTTAAAACATCGATAGTATTGTTTTAACTCAAACCATCGATATATCGGTAGTGTCGTCGATATTTTTCCACCTCTAGTGAAAAGTAGGGATGTCAGTGGCAAAAATACATCGATGTTTTCCCATCGAAACATACATCGACATTCGTCGATGCATTGGAGGGCGTACATTGATATTTTACAACGCTTTTTACTTAAATATTCGTGGCGTTTTCTAGTTAACACTTTTTATTATTTTTTATAAAAATGTTGTTCATACTTTAGCTAATACTATGCAAAACAATGTGTCTAACTTTATACGAAATTTAGAAAAATTCAACAAATTTTCATCAATATTTTGAACTTTTTAACATCAATTTCTTCGAATTCCAGACAAAGCGATGTTTAGCGGTTCGATGTACTAGAGATGTCAGCTTACAGAAAACATCGAAGCATCGACTATTTATACATCGAATGGAAAATTTTCGATGCATCGAAGCAGAACATTGATATTTTCTATGCATCGATGTTTTTTCGACATCTCTAGTGAAAAGTTTGTGAAAAGATTGTCTACGGTGAAGAAATCCATCGCTCTTTTGGTAAATTTCTGTATTTCTTCAGTATTTGTGATTCTTAGCAGGTAATTGAATTTCAATAAAATCTTTGATATTATAAAAACTCATTAAATTCTAGACTAAACTAATAAAGTGGCTCTCTTTTAACGTCAAAACAATTGATTGTGCGGAAAATGGATGGACTACAGCACCGACGAGAAAGAAAATCGTCAATGGTAACACAACAATTTTACGTAAATGCAAAATTATTACTAAGCCCAATTAAGCATCATTATACCAATATGTACATATGTATATGATAATGAAAATTAACTGCTATAAAATTTTTCAACCTACAGGCACCACTATCACCATGCCCTATACCAGACATAAGTGATGATGAGCTAGTTTCTATATCCGTCAGAGACCTTAATCGTACTCTGAAGTCTCGCGGCCTAAATCGCGAGGAGGTTGTGCGTATGAAGCAGCGTCGACGAACGCTGAAAAATCGTGGCTATGCAGCTAGTTGTCGCATAAAACGTATAGAACAGAAGGATGTTTTGGAAACAGAAAAATCGCATGAATGGGTTGAGCTGGAAACTATGCACGAAGATAACGAACAATGTCGCAAGGATATAGCTAACTGGAAGAATAAATACAAGGCTTTGCTGCAGTTTGCAGCCCATAATGACATTCCGATTCCACCGGAACTAGAGGGTTGCTGAATAATGGAAGCAGAATAGTATACATCGGAGTGTCTACTTACACGTGCCACGGTAAAAATTACGCCGAACAAAGTTCTGTCCCACACTCAGAAAGGATAATTCTGAGTAGTAAGGGTTATAATCCCTAAGCGCGGCCGAAGGCCGCCTACGCATAAAGAAGTTCTGCCCCACTTCTCCGGCAACACATAATCCACGTAATTTTGCCGTAGATATACGGTAATTTTTAAACTAGCCGTGGCGCGTGTGTGTAGACACTGCCAATATAAATAGATTATATATTTTAAGTAACTTTATGTATACCACTTTATTTGTAAATTATATCGATCGTGTATAGGTTTTAAATAAATACTGCTTATTTAAAATTTGGCTGTCTTAAAAACGCATACATATTTAACTCGTATATTACTTTTACTAAAGCAAAATTTAAACATCTAGCATGTTTAGTGGAATGTCTCCAGCATGCTCCTCCAGCATCTCGACAGTGCCTTCAGTACTGTCTGCAAACTCAGTTTCTTTCTTTTCTCCAACGGTCGACTTTGATCCTGAAAGTATGTACTTCTTTGCTAGCGCATCTGTGTAACCAGTTTTCTTAAAAAGATCCTGATGCACGGTGCGCAAATGACGGCGAACCCTAATAGAAAATAATTTATTTGAACCAGTGGCAAATCACTGTTGGCTCTGCATTTACTAAGGTACATCCTTACACGCATCCTACAACGATTGTACATACTTACTTAAATTTGGTAGGAAATCCACGCTGACACACTCCACACAACAATGGCATTCCCGTGTGCTCGTATTGATGTTGCCTCAAGCCAGCGAGATTTATAAATGTTTTTTCACATTCATCACATTTGTAGCGTACACCTAGATGTCGTTTCTCGTGGTAGTTAAGATGGCCCTTTATAGCAAATTTCCGGTCACACATCGAGCATGCAAATGGAAAATCGCCAGTATGAAAACGTATATGTACTTCGAGATCTTTGCGTCGTACGAACTTTTTGCCACAATGTGGGCAATCGATAGTCTTGCCACGATGCATTTGCATGTGTAAACCAAGATTTGATTTACGCAGGAACGTTTTTGAACAAATTGTGCATTCGAATATTGCTCGATCTTCTGGTAAGATGTGAGTAGTTTGATGCAATTGGAGATTTTCGAGTGTAAAAAATCTTTTTCCACAGTCGATACATTCAATATTTCGATCACGTTCATCTGAGTGGAGTTCTAAATGCCTTTTAAGTGTGAAACGGGAAGCACATATTTTAGCTGTGAAAAATATATAAGTTAAATAAAATATGTTGGCAAATATTCAAGTTAACTTACGACATTTGTTGCATAAGAACTTCAGTTGTTTATGGCGCTTTAAATGTTTGTTGTAGAATGTCTTCAATACAGTGCGTCCACAATGTTCGCAGTCTATATATTCATCTTTCTGATGAACCTGTCGTCGATGCAAACGTAGTACATTTTTCGACACAAACCGATTTGGACAATATTCACATGGGAAATTATGTGTTTTATCCCCTGATAGTGTAGTCGAAAAAATATGTATATGTAGGTATATCAAGGAATATCATAATGTACATCGTATGTGAATTCTATATATCTATGTACCATGTTCAACTTCATAATGCTGAAGCAAATCTCTTTGGAATTGGAATACCGATGTACAAAACTCGCATTTGAAGTCAAAACAGGACTTAGACTCATCGCCAGTATTCCTTTCCTCTGCTCCACGTTGAGATAATTTAAGACACGAACTTGATTTAGCTTCTTCATCGTCCGGTGACTCTTCTGAGGCATTGATGTTACTTTTTGAAATAATTGGTTCGTTAGAGAAAACACGCTCTACACTAATGAGTGTAGTTGGTAAAGGTTCGTACGAGCCATTATTATCGTCATTCAACACACTTCCAGTGCTGTTTGAGTTTCGTTCATATTCGACAGGTTCAAAATCCTAAAAACAAAATTTCAGAAAATGTAGCTACATATGTACTTCATTCATTATTGTTTGATCCTACGACGTCTTAAACAAAGTTTAAAATGGCAAAGAGAATTGACTTATTTTTAATTTTCAAATTTGTTTGTGCAAACGGATTCTTAATAAAAAACATTTTCACAAATTACACACATATGTGCATACATACATACCTTTATATATGTATGTATATATACCTTTTCTATAAACTCCTCCTCTACTTCCGCCTTTTCCAATTCATCGGCATCATGGTCTTCTGCATATTCATTTCCTTTAATAATCTCTTGCTTAGACTGTGTTAATAATTGGTGATTCAACTGTGCTCGCGTTATAAACTCATAGGCTTGGACAAGATCAAGGCGACAACGACCACAAATATAATGGCAAGGAGGATAGCCTACGATATGGAAATCTTCTACCCCAATATAAAGCTGTGTGCTTTTATTGAACAACTCCAGTAATGTAAGAGTATCGCTTTCGGAGCTGTATAACTGCAACAAATCAATATAGTCTGCAAGTTCATCTTGTGATGCGACCGACAGACATGCACGACAACATCGCATTTCTTCAAAGTCGATTTCATTATTTAGCGTATATTCCATTGTTGCGCAATAGATTACAGAATATAATTTATTTTGATAATAAATTTGCCAAAAAATGTTCCTGACTTTTTTATCTAATACTGAATAGTGATTGCCATGACAACGGGTAAGCAAGGTGGCCAGATAAAAGGTCTTGTTAAATTATTCATATAGTGACTGAGTTCAGACACGGAAACTTTTGTTGCTCATTTTCGGCAACTTCTCTTTTGGTGTTGCCCGTTGCATTCACACAGAGAAACTATTTTGTAAACAATTGTTGTTGTCAGCTGCGATCGCCAACTTGAATTACTCGGTGCCCTTCCCCTTTCCTCGTCACTCCCTCTCCTTCCTACAAGTAACGAGTTGCGCGACAAAAGTTTCCGAGTCTGAACTCGGACATTAAAAAATTTCGGTGGCACGTTTTTGGTAACTTTTTTAACCGTGTCGACAACCAAGTACATTAATTGAAATTTAGATTAGATGAAAACTACTATATGCTTGCGGTCTGATAAGCAAATAAAAAATCGATTTCGAGTGGAAGACCGTGGGCTGTAATTAGCACTTTACAGCATCCAATAATCACAATAAATTAACTTAATTGTGAATGAATTTCTTTTAAGAAGCAGAACAGTTTTGTACACAACGCTGGACAGAAATTTTCTTGGCAAATTTTAATAAATTACTGAATAAAAATATATACGGATTTTTGTAACTGAAAAAGGACCATAAATATCCGAAGTTAGTCATATTTCATTCTAGATTTTGAGTTACTAATTCTACTAACAATAAATTCAAAGAAATTTCAGCAAGAGGATCTTTTCTAGCGACCAACGCAAACAAGCAGGAGGGGTTTACTTACAAAAATGGCCACCAGCGATATCAGTAGTTCCAACGAACGCCACTATTATGCAAAACTTGAAGCTATCAAAGATATACGAGATAAAACCATAGCATTGGAAAAATTAAAAGTGAAAATTGTTAAAGAAGTAAAAATAAGCGACGATGAGGAAAAATGTCTCGATGAGTATCGTAAAGAAATGGAACATTTGCTCGAGGAGAAAATGTCTCACGTCGAAGAACTGCGACAAATTCATGCTGATATAAATGACATGGAAAATATAATTAAACAAACCAAGGAAAATCAAACGCGTTCCGTTGACATGGCCAATCGCGTATATGAAGAATAT